TTTGATATGCCTTGAATTATCTTAGATTTATTCAAAAGCCAATAAATTATGATTTGAAACTAAAAGCTGCTGCTGGAAGTATTGATAAGACAATGTTCATATTCTCTCTTATTCTTACTGTTGAAATGAAACACTTTCGATCTGATTTAACCTATGCTTATGCATATCTAAGATGTCCAGCAATTGGTTTCATGTTTCAGCCTGAAATTATTATGGATCGACATCGAAGTCACCGATCTCTGAAACACCAGGCTCATGAGTTGGCTAACGCTGCCTACTGCAACCCGACCCTCAATCAGCCTAGCAATGCAGCGCTCGAGCGCATTCAAAGTTGCGAGTCGTGTTGGAGCTTGGATGCCTTCGATGACATACCTGAATCAAGGAAACCGTCTTCGACGGTTGACGAAACGGAGGAGAAAAAGCAACGGGCAGGAAATGTCACTTTTGCCCAATGTTCCGAGATCTTCGCCGCCGATCCAACAGCGCCTCTGGCTGATGACAACAAGACCTCGGTGCAAAATGCCAACGAGAACGCTTCAGCCGAAAACATAGACATATTTGCCGCTCTTGACAAGAACAAGGTCAGAAAAATGAATACAGCCGTGTTACTGAACCAAGCCATTAGGCAGCGATCTTCTACAAGTCGTCTTGTGGTAATCAATCTTCCTCGGCCTCCGACAGGAGCAGAAGGTCTGGCAGATTACATGCAATATCTGGAAGTGTTGACAGAGGGCTTACCTCGCGTACTTTTGGTCAGAGGTTCTGGAAAAGAAGTGATTACGATTTATTCATAAAATGGCATGCGTTATGCATTGTTTGTGAATATATTGAAACGTTTCCTACTTTGTATTAAAAATAATGCCGTGAATTAATTCAAATTGATCAAACGGCATTTATATCTCAGCTACCAAAAGTAGTATTAGGTAGAGAGACTTGGTGGCAGAGTGCTGGTTCATACGCGCGTTGTTATTCAACTAAAATATAAATGAACCGCTTAAAACGCCACAGAGAAAAAGATCAGTTTAACCTTCCTCACACAATTCCCCAAAGTATATGTGTTTCTAAATAATGTGGAGGGGAAAGAGCACCACATCTGATCTCTAGCCGATGGTGCTTAACATTACTAACCAGTACTAAACGATCTAAACTTTGTGAACACTGAAAATTTCTTCCTCTTCAGCACAGGGGTCTGTGCTTAACACAGCACCTCTATCAGCATTTTAAATCCCGCTCGCCGAGATCAATTTAGTGTTAAATTTGAACGATCATTGTCGTAGTAGCGGAACTGGCAGATATCACGTCACCAAGAACTTAAAGCTAACCTTCAGGGATATTTGGACTAAAAATAAGACTGACGGATTACGAAACACCATCCAAAGTCTTAGTCACTTTGTTCAGGAGAATTGTATTACGAAACAATAGCATATATCCTCTCAACAAACGGTAACGACTATATCTTTCCAGGGTTTACACTCCGTGCTGAGCTTAATCAGCTGGATCAAATACAGTGTCCTTGCAAAGGCCAAGAATCAGACAGCACAACCGTAGGTCTTGCACCTCTCTTGAACACACTAACAGCGAATCAGCACCAATGCCTTCAGCACCGAATTCACAGCACGCTGTTTGAGACCAGGATTTAACAGTCGGCACAGCTTTGGTTTAAGAACCAATTTGTCTCGAGATCGAGTCCCGGTAGGGGGGACTCGTGTTTTTTCCTTCCGAGGTTAATAAATGAGTACAATTCTGCTGGGAGTAAACAGGAGACTACACACTGTGGTTGTTAAATAGCCGCTGTCGACTCTGCCTTTAAAATAGCAATACTTTTCTGCATGGTGACATGTAAATGGAGGTCAGTTTCTTCACAGTGCATTCCATCGAATAAGGGCGTCAGCAATGACTTCATCAAGAAAGTTTAAGGAAGACCGACATTCCAACGGTTACGAACTTTTCTTTTCCTTCACCACACAAAAACACCATGCTGAACCTACACTCTGTAAGGCTGCAATAAGTGGAATGGAGTGAATTGCTCGAGGGAATTAGCAACTGCTACGAAGCACTACTAAACGCGAAACGTTGAAGCTAAGTCTGAAAGATATTCATATAGCGTGGACTTCTTGACGCTGCATGAAAGGATGACTGTTGGAAACAATATAAAATTGCAAAGTTAGTGAATGAGTCGAAGCACAAGCAGGAGTTTTGCAATGCCATTGCATGAGTGAAAAGATTGAGTTGTTAATAGAGAGGATGCATTGCATGAAAATCTATCATCGTTGAACAAAAATGCATTAGACTAGGTTCCGAGAAACGGTAGACGGCCCTCACTAAGACCTTTAAAAACATAAGAGGATGATCTGAAAAAGTTTCGCTGAGTCGAAACGGATGAGAATCACAGAAAACCAAAATTACGGCAAAGTCTTGGGGATTCCTTCATCCAGCTGTAAATTGAAAATGACTCATGACGTTGATGAACACCGGTGCTAAGACAACCTGATCTTAAATTCAAATTCATACCTCTGACCTGTAAAACCGAAGGATTTTCCCTGCGCCACTAATCAGGTTTGTACCTTAGACGATATTAAGTTCCTTTGCTATAACTACCTGGAAACGAATGCGCAACGGAGAATGTTTCTGTCTAGGACTGGTGACAGAATGAAAAATAGTAGTACGTCCAACGCAATAAACAATTTCGCCAAAACGATTAAAGTATGAATAATCACTTGATATACATTTTGCCAGATCTGCGTTGCTTGTTTCTGCGCTTGATGGAATGGTAAGATCCTCGCAGGAAACTATGAATCATTATCATTTCAATATGCTTTATCGCTACGTTTTCTACATAGTCGCGTGGTGCTATTTAGCGCAATAAATAGCATAAAATTTTACTCAAATAGGAAAGGCATCCTGAAATATTTAATCTATTTTGTTAAACATTTAATATACTGTGGCCTGGAACCAAATCTACTGCTTTAGGAAACTCTGACAGTCCAGGTTAAGTGAGTGAATGGTTGAATTAATCAATTAATGAACGTTTACTGTACGAAATTAATCGCTAAACTCCATTCTTTTTAGGCAAAAGAAAATAGGAAAATACGAAATCTGCATATATTCAATCGATAACAATCAGAGAATCTTCCAATTCAACCGATTGCCGTCAGAAGAATGCAAAACACATGAGCTTTACTCACCGATGACTCATTCCTGACAGTTTCTAATTTTGTGAGTGGCTGCTTATCATTGATCTCCGCGATCAAACTCGATTTTTGCTGAGCCTATTCAAAACGGTTGATAACTGTTTGTTCATTCTCATCAGCTCATTGCTGATTGGCTGGTTGTAATCATGTCATCTTCGCACTTTATCTCTCTCACTATCTGTCGCTTATCATTTGCCTTTGCCGAATTTATCGATGACATTGGCAACCAACAAACTGTAGGCCTACCCTCTAAGGTAGCGCGCGAATTGCCATGTTCTTCTTATCCGTCAGTGGTCATTATATACCTCACAGCAGCACCTGAAATCTCTTTACTTATTCAAGGCATACTGCTGTAGCGAAAGAGTATTCGGACTATAAACCTGAAAGATGCTAGGTCGTCTTCAAAGTAGGGTGTGTCCATGATATACACCTATGAACAGATGACGACACTAATTCATTTTAATTTAATTTAATAACCAGCAGTCACTAATCGTGTGAGTCAAGAAAAACACCACATGAATCAGTCGTTTCAAAGTCTTTGATGTGCATCTTAACTTGATTGGATTTCTTGTCCTTGGCTGTTAGCTGTTCGCCCAAAAGCTAGGAAGGCAAAAAATCAATACATGTATCTTCTCTTTCGCGTATCGAAATATAACATGAATAAACGTTGACTACAATACAACAGACATGATTAGATAGATGTCTGGATTGTATGGCAAACAGACAAAAGTAACATCGCTTGCTTTAGTGCCACTGAACGCTTTTACAATAGAAAGGCTTATGACATAGAGCCGTTTGCACGAATTATGACTGTAGCAAACTATGCATATGAATGATTATGCGAATGCATATTCCGGAGAGATGAAACAAAAATGGAAGTGCGGATTTCAACGACCGGATGAAATGAAGACAGAACTGGAGGCCAATAGCGAATGTGAGATAACGGAATGATATTGTGAGGAACAGCACTGAAATAATTAATCTGAACCGTGATAAGGAAAACGGTGATGTGTATGCAGTTCTTCTTTGATCGAAATCGATAATTGAAACGGGTATAAAGTGCAGGCCTGATGTCACTGGGAACAAGATGGATAGAGAACGTTAAAGAATGTCCATTTGGTACGTAGAAGTCGACGGTATATTTTCATTTGTTGTTTCAGTGAAGTTCCTCAGATCAGTTTTTGTTGATTCGTTGATAGCGAAACAAAATCATGCTGCTGATGTATCGAAGGCTGAAATGCCATGAGTTTTATTATTGGAAAATCTAAATGATGTTTCACCGTCATACCATCACTCATCCGAAATCAGGTTCTAACCAATGAAGTAAAGCATGAAAGGTCCACGCATGATGGCCAAATGACTGACCATTAGGAAGTTCTGTATTTCATCGGTTACTTGAGGGTCGAACTCTGAGCCGATGGATC